TGATCCTGACTAACCGATCCCGTTAGTCGCCTCTTAAAACAAGCATAGTCGCCTTTTACGGCAAGCATTGGTTGCTGAAGACCTTACTCGTATCTAGACGGGTCCGCCATTCAGGAATTACATACAATGCAAGCTATGTCATCATTCAATGAATTATTTCTCACAGACGAAAACATATTTTCTTCCCATTCTGTTCTTCAAGTGTACAGACGCCATCATATTGTATGGAATAGATTGGTTAAACTACTTTGTTTTTAAAATGTGAAACCGAAATATATAATGTAGAATAATGATTGTGAAATAAAAAGAGGACCGCCCGAACAGGGACTCGAACCCTGGACCCTCAGATCACTCTGATTGTGACAGACCGCTTAAAAGTCTGATGCTCTACCGACTGAGCTATCCGGGCTCTTGGCTAGCCAGCCAGATGTTTCTGTTCAGCTGACAGACAAGCAAAGACAAATGTTTGTTAACATTTCTGCTTCCTCAAAGTCCTTTTGTCGTACACCACTCAGGAGTTACATACAATACAAGATATTTCATCATTCAATGAATTATTTCTCATACACGAAAATATATTCTCTCCCCATTCTGTTCTTCAGGTTCACAGATGTCGTCATATTGTATGGAATAGATTGGTTAAAATACTTTGTTTTTGAAATGTGAAACCGTAATATGTTATGAAGAATAATGATTGTGAAATAAAAAGAGGACCGCCAGAACAGGGACTCGAACCCTGGACCCTCAGATCACTCTGATTGTGACAGACCGCTTAAAAGTCTGATGCTCTACCGACTGAGCTATCCGGGCACTCGGTAAGCTAGCCAGATGTTTCTGTTCAGGTGACAGACAAGCAAACACAAATGTTTGTTGACATTTCTGCTGCCTCAAGCGCCTTTTATCGTACATCATTCAGGTTGGTTGGTTGGCAAACACGCCGCACTCTGCAATATTCCATCTTATATGACGGCGGTCTGTAAATAATCGAGTCTGGACCAGACAATCCTGTGGTTAGTATGATGAGCATCGATCCACGTAATTGAGATCGATGGCATGGATCAACCAAGTCAGTGATCCTGACTACCCGATCCCGTTAGTCGCCTCTTAAAACAAGCATAGTCGCCTTTTACGGCAAGCATAGGTTGCTGAAGACCTTACTCGGATCTTCACGGGTCCACCATTCAGGAGTTACATACAATGCAAGCTATGTCATCATTCAATGAATTATTTCTCACAGACGAAAACATATTTTCTTCCCATTCTGTTCTTCAAGTGTACAGACGCCATCATATTGTATGGAATAGATTGGTTAAACTACTTTGTTTTTAAAATGTGAAACCGAAATATATAATGTAGAATAATGATTGTGAAATAAAAAGAGGACCGCCCGAACAGGGACTCGAACCCTGGACCCTCAGATCACTCTGATTGTGACAGACCGCTTAAAAGTCTGATGCTCTACCGACTGAGCTATCCGGGCTCTTGGCTAGCCAGCCAGATGTTTCTGTTCAGCTGACAGACAAGCAAAGACAAATGTTTGTTAACATTTCTGCTTCCTCAAAGTCCTTTTGTCGTACACCACTCAGGAGTTACATACAATACAAGATATTTCATCATTCAATGAATTATTTCTCATACACGAAAATATATTCTCTCCCCATTCTGTTCTTCAGGTTCACAGATGTCGTCATATTGTATGGAATAGATTGGTTAAAATACTTTGTTTTTGAAATGTGAAACCGTAATATGTTATGAAGAATAATGATTGTGAAAATAAAAAGAGGACCGCCCGAACAGGGACTCGAACCCTGGACCCTCAGATCACTCTGATTGTGACAGACCGCTTAAAAGTCTGATGCTCTACCGACTGAGCTATCCGGGCACTCGGTAAGCTAGCCAGATGTTTCTGTTCAGGTGACAGACAAGCAAACACAAATGTTTGTTGACATTTCTGCTGCCTCAAGCGCCTTTTATCGTACATCATTCAGGTTGGTTGGTTGGCAAACACGCCGCACTCTGCAATATTCCATCTTATATGACGGCGGTCTGTAAATAATCGAGTCTGGACCAGACAATCCAGTGATTAATATGATGAGCATCGATCCACGTAATTGAGATCGATGACATGCATCAACCAAGTCAGTGATCCTGACTACCCGATCCCGTTAGTCGCCTCTTAAAACAAGCATAGTCGCCTTTTACGGCAAGCATTGGTTGCTGAAGACCTTACTCGTATCTAGACGGGTCCGCCATTCAGGAATTACATACAATGCAAGCTATGTCATCATTCAATGAATTATTTCTCACAGACGAAAACATATTTTCTTCCCATTCTGTTCTTCAAGTGTACAGACGCCATCATATTGTATGGAATAGATTGGTTAAACTACTTTGTTTTTAAAATGTGAAACCGAAATATATAATGTAGAATAATGATTGTGAAATAAAAAGAGGACCGCCCGAACAGGGACTCGAACCCTGGACCCTCAGATCACTCTGATTGTGACAGACCGCTTAAAAGTCTGATGCTCTACCGACTGAGCTATCCGGGCTCTTGGCTAGCCAGCCAGATGTTTCTGTTCAGCTGACAGACAAGCAAAGACAAATGTTTGTTAACATTTCTGCTTCCTCAAAGTCCTTTTGTCGTACACCACTCAGGAGTTACATACAATACAAGATATTTCATCATTCAATGAATTATTTCTCATACACGAAAATATATTCTCTCCCCATTCTGTTCTTCAGGTTCACAGATGTCGTCATATTGTATGGAATAGATTGGTTAAAATACTTTGTTTTTGAAATGTGAAACCGTAATATGTTATGAAGAATAATGATTGTGAAATAAAAAGAGGACCGCCCGAACAGGGACTCGAACCCTGGACCCTCAGATCACTCTGATTGTGACAGACCGCTTAAAAGTCTGATGCTCTACCGACTGAGCTATCCCGGCACTCGGTAAGCTAGCCAGATGTTTCTGTTCAGGTGACAGACAAGCAAACACAAATGTTTGTTGACATTTCTGCTGCCTCAAGCGCCTTTTATCGTACATCATTCAGGTTGGTTGGTTGGCAAACACGCCGCACTCTGCAATATTCCATCTTATATGACGGCGGTCTGTAAATAATCGAGTCTGGACCAGACAATCCTGTGGTTAGTATGATGAGCATCGATCCACGTAATTGAGATCGATGGCATGGATCAACCAAGTCAGTGATCCTGACTACCCGATCCCGTTAGTCGCCTCTTAAAACAAGCATAGTCGCCTTTTACGGCAAGCATAGGTTGCTGAAGACCTTACTCGGATCTTCACGGGTCCACCATTCAGGAGTTACATACAATGCAAGCTATGTCATCATTCAATGAATTATTTCTCACAGACGAAAACATATTTTCTTCCCATTCTGTTCTTCAAGTGTACAGACGCCATCATATTGTATGGAATAGATTGGTTAAACTACTTTGTTTTTAAAATGTGAAACCGAAATATATAATGTAGAATAATGATTGTGAAATAAAAAGAGGACCGCCCGAACAGGGACTCGAACCCTGGACCCTCAGATCACTCTGATTGTGACAGACCGCTTAAAAGTCTGATGCTCTACCGACTGAGCTATCCGGGCTCTTGGCTAGCCAGCCAGATGTTTCTGTTCAGCTGACAGACAAGCAAAGACAAATGTTTGTTAACATTTCTGCTTCCTCAAAGTCCTTTTGTCGTACACCACTCAGGAGTTACATACAATACAAGATATTTCATCATTCAATGAATTATTTCTCATACACGAAAATATATTCTCTCCCCATTCTGTTCTTCAGGTTCACAGATGTCGTCATATTGTATGGAATAGATTGGTTAAAATACTTTGTTTTTGAAATGTGAAACCGTAATATGTTATGAAGAATAATGATTGTGAAAATAAAAAGAGGACCGCCAGAACAGGGACTCGAACCCTGGACCCTCAGATCACTCTGATTGTGACAGACCGCTTAAAAGTCTGATGCTCTACCGACTGAGCTATCCGGGCACTCGGTAAGCTAGCCAGATGTTTCTGTTCAGCTGACAGACAAGCAAACACAAATGTTTGTTGACATTTCTGCTGCCTCAAGCGCCTTTTATCGTACATCATTCAGGTTGGTTGGTTGGCAAACACGCCGCACTCTGCAATATTCCATCTTATATGACGGCGGTCTGTAAATAATCGAGTCTGGACCAGACAATCCAGTGATTAATATGATGAGCATCGATCCACGTAATTGAGATCGATGACATGCATCAACCAAGTCAGTGATCCTGACTACCCGATTCCGTTAGTCGCCTCTTAAAACAAGCATAGTCGCCTTTTACGGCAAGCATTGGTTGCTGAAGACCTTACTCGTATCTAGACGGGTCCGCCATTCAGGAATTACATACAATGCAAGCTATGTCATCATTCAATGAATTATTTCTCACAGACGAAAACATATTTTCTTCCCATTCTGTTCTTCAAGTGTACAGACGCCATCATATTGTATGGAATAGATTGGTTAAACTACTTTGTTTTTAAAATGTGAAACCGAAATATATAATGTAGAATAATGATTGTGAAATAAAAAGAGGACCGCCCGAACAGGGACTCGAACCCTGGACCCTCAGATCACTCTGATTGTGACAGACCGCTTAAAAGTCTGATGCTCTACCGACTGAGCTATCCGGGCTCTTGGCTAGCCAGCCAGATGTTTCTGTTCAGCTGACAGACAAGCAAAGACAAATGTTTGTTAACATTTCTGCTTCCTCAAAGTCCTTTTGTCGTACACCACTCAGGAGTTACATACAATACAAGATATTTCATCATTCAATGAATTATTTCTCATACACGAAAATATATTCTCTCCCCATTCTGTTCTTCAGGTTCACAGATGTCGTCATATTGTATGGAATAGATTGGTTAAAATACTTTGTTTTTGAAATGTGAAACCGTAATATGTTATGAAGAATAATGATTGTGAAATAAAAAGAGGACCGCCCGAACAGGGACTCGAACCCTGGACCCTCAGATCACTCTGATTGTGACAGACCGCTTAAAAGTCTGATGCTCTACCGACTGAGCTATCCGCCGCACTCTGCAATATTCCATCTTATATGACGGCGGTCTGTAAATAATCGAGTCTGGACCAGACAATCCAGTGATTAATATGATGAGCATCGATCCACGTAATTGAGATCGATGACATGCATCAACCAAGTCAGTGATCCTGACTACCCGATCCCGTTAGTCGCCTCTTAAAACAAGCATAGTCGCCTTTTACGGCAAGCATTGGTTGCTGAAGACCTTACTCGTATCTAGACGGGTCCGCCATTCAGGAATTACATACAATGCAAGCTATGTCATCATTCAATGAATTATTTCTCACAGACGAAAACATATTTTCTTCCCATTCTGTTCTTCAAGTGTACAGACGCCATCATATTGTATGGAATAGATTGGTTAAACTACTTTGTTTTTAAAATGTGAAACCGAAATATATAATGTAGAATAATGATTGTGAAATAAAAAGAGGACCGCCCGAACAGGGACTCGAACCCTGGACCCTCAGATCACTCTGATTGTGACAGACCGCTTAAAAGTCTGATGCTCTACCGACTGAGCTATCCGGGCTCTTGGCTAGCCAGCCAGATGTTTCTGTTCAGCTGACAGACAAGCAAAGACAAATGTTTGTTAACATTTCTGCTTCCTCAAAGTCCTTTTGTCGTACACCACTCAGGAGTTACATACAATACAAGATATTTCATCATTCAATGAATTATTTCTCATACACGAAAATATATTCTCTCCCCATTCTGTTCTTCAGGTTCACAGATGTCGTCATATTGTATGGAATAGATTGATTAAAATACTTTGTTTTTGAAATGTGAAACCGTAATATGTTATGAAGAATAATGATTGTGAAATAAAAAGAGGACCGCCCGAACAGGGACTCGAACCCTGGACCCTCAGATCACTCTGATTGTGACAGACCGCTTAAAAGTCTGATGCTCTACCGACTGAGCTATCCGGGCACTCGGTAAGCTAGCCAGATGTTTCTGTTCAGGTGACAGACAAGCAAACACAAATGTTTGTTGACATTTCTGCTGCCTCAAGCGCCTTTTATCGTACATCATTCAGGTTGGTTGGTTGGCAAACACGCCGCACTCTGCAATATTCCATCTTATATGACGGCGGTCTGTAAATAATCGAGTCTGGACCAGACAATCCTGTGGTTAGTATGATGAGCATCGATCCACGTAATTGAGATCGATGGCATGGATCAACCAAGTCAGTGATCCTGACTACCCGATCCCGTTAGTCGCCTCTTAAAACAAGCATAGTCGCCTTTTACGGCAAGCATAGGTTGCTGAAGACCTTACTCGTATCTAGACGGGTCCGCCATTCAGGAATTACATACAATGCAAGCTATGTCATCATTCAATGAATTATTTCTCATACACGAAAATATATTCTCTCCCCATTCTGTTCTTCAGGTTCACAGATGTCGTCATATTGTATGGAATAGATTGGTTAAAATACTTTGTTTTTGAAATGTGAAACCGTAATATGTTATGAAGAATAATGATTGTGAAATAAAAAGAGGACCGCCCGAACAGGGACTCGAACCCTGGACCCTCAGATCACTCTGATTGTGACAGACCGCTTAAAAGTCTGATGCTCTACCGACTGAGCTATCCGGGCACTCGGTAAGCTAGCCAGATGTTTCTGTTCAGGTGACAGACAAGCAAACACAAATGTTTGTTGACATTTCTGCTGCCTCAAGCGCCTTTTATCGTACATCATTCAGGTTGGTTGGTTGGCAAACACGCCGCACTCTGCAATATTCCATCTTATATGACGGCGGTCTGTAAATAATCGAGTCTGGACCAGACAATCCAGTGATTAATATGATGAGCATCGATCCACGTAATTGAGATCGATGACATGCATCAACCAAGTCAGTGATCCTGACTAACCGATCCCGTTAGTCGCCTCTTAAAACAAGCATAGTCGCCTTTTACGGCAAGCATTGGTTGCTGAAGACCTTACTCGTATCTAGACGGGTCCGCCATTCAGGAATTACATACAATGCAAGCTATGTCATCATTCAATGAATTATTTCTCACAGACGAAAACATATTTTCTTCCCATTCTGTTCTTCAAGTGTACAGACGCCATCATATTGTATGGAATAGATTGGTTAAACTACTTTGTTTTTAAAATGTGAAACCGAAATATATAATGTAGAATAATGATTGTGAAATAAAAAGAGGACCGCCCGAACAGGGACTCGAACCCTGGACCCTCAGATCACTCTGATTGTGACAGACCGCTTAAAAGTCTGATGCTCTACCGACTGAGCTATCCGGGCTCTTGGCTAGCCAGCCAGATGTTTCTGTTCAGCTGACAGACAAGCAAAGACAAATGTTTGTTAACATTTCTGCTTCCTCAAAGTCCTTTTGTCGTACACCACTCAGGAGTTACATACAATACAAGATATTTCATCATTCAATGAATTATTTCTCATACACGAAAATATATTCTCTCCCCATTCTGTTCTTCAGGTTCACAGATGTCGTCATATTGTATGGAATAGATTGGTTAAAATACTTTGTTTTTGAAATGTGAAACCGTAATATGTTATGAAGAATAATGATTGTGAAATAAAAAGAGGACCGCCCGAACAGGGACTCGAACCCTGGACCCTCAGATCACTCTGATTGTGACAGACCGCTTAAAAGTCTGATGCTGTACCGACTGAGCTATCCCGGCACTCGGTAAGCTAGCCAGATGTTTCTGTTCAGGTGACAGACAAGCAAACACAAATGTTTGTTGACATTTCTGCTGCCTCAAGCGCCTTTTATCGTACATCATTCAGGTTGGTTGGTTGGCAAACACGCCGCACTCTGCAATATTCCATCTTATATGACGGCGGTCTGTAAATAATCGAGTCTGGACCAGACAATCCTGTGGTTAGTATGATGAGCATCTATCCACGTAATTGAGATCGATGGCATGGATCAACCAAGTCAGTGATCCTGACTACCCGATCCCGTTAGTCGCCTCTTAAAACAAGCATAGTCGCCTTTTACGGCAAGCATAGGTTGCTGAAGACCTTACTCGTATCTAGACGGGTCCGCCATTCAGGAATTACATACAATGCAAGCTATGTCATCATTCAATGAATTATTTCTCATACAGGAAAATATATTCTCTCCCCATTCTGTTCTTCAGGTTCACAGATGTCGTCATATTGTATGGAATGGATTGGTTAAAATACTTTGTTTTTGAAATGTGAAACCGTAATATGTTATGAAGAATAATGATTGTGAAATAAAAAGAGGACCGCCCGAACAGGGACTCGAACCCTGGACCCTCAGATCACTCTGATTGTGACAGACCGCTTAAAAGTCTGATGCTCTACCGACTGAGCTATCCGGGCACTCGGTAAGCTAGCCAGATGTTTCTGTTCAGGTGACAGACAAGCAAACACAAATGTTTGTTGACATTTCTGCTGCCTCAAGCGCCTTTTATCGTACATCATTCAGGTTGGTTGGTTGGCAAACACGCCGCACTCTGCAATATTCCATCTTATATGACGGCGGTCTGTAAATAATCGAGTCTGGACCAGACAATCCAGTGATTAATATGATGAGCATCGATCCACGTAATTGAGATCGATGACATGCATCAACCAAGTCAGTGATCCTGACTACCCGATCCCGTTAGTCGCCTCTTAAAACAAGCATAGTCGCCTTTTACGGCAAGCATTGGTTGCTGAAGACCTTACTCGTATCTAGACGGGTCCGCCATTCAGGAATTACATACAATGCAAGCTATGTCATCATTCAATGAATTATTTCTCACAGACGAAAACATATTTTCTTCCCATTCTGTTCTTCAAGTGTACAGACGCCATCATATTGTATGGAATAGATTGGTTAAACTACTTTGTTTTTAAAAAGTGAAACCGAAATATATAATGTAGAATAATGATTGTGAAATAAAAAGAGGACCGCCCGAACAGGGACTCGAACCCTGGACCCTCAGATCACTCTGATTGTGACAGACCGCTTAAAAGTCTGATGCTCTACCGACTGAGCTATCCGGGCTCTTGGCTAGCCAGCCAGATGTTTCTGTTCAGCTGACAGACAAGCAAAGACAAATGTTTGTTAACATTTCTGCTTCCTCAAAGTCCTTTTGTCGTACACCACTCAGGAGTTACATACAATACAAGATATTTCATCATTCAATGAATTATTTCTCATACAGGAAAATATATTCTCTCCCCATTCTGTTCTTCAGGTTCACAGATGTCGTCATATTGTATGGAATGGATTGGTTAAAATACTTTGTTTTTGAAATGTGAAACCGTAATATGTTATGAAGAATAATGATTGTGAAATAAAAAGAGGACCGCCCGAACAGGGACTCGAACCCTGGACCCTCAGATCACTCTGATTGTGACAGACCGCTTAAAAGTCTGATGCTCTACCGACTGAGCTATCCGGGCACTCGGTAAGCTAGCCAGATGTTTCTGTTCAGGTGACAGACAAGCAAACACAAATGTTTGTTGACATTTCTGCTGCCTCAAGCGCCTTTTATCGTACATCATTCAGGTTGGTTGGTTGGCAAACACGCCGCACTCTGCAATATTCCATCTTATATGACGGCGGTCTGTAAATAATCGAGTCTGGACCAGACAATCCAGTGATTAATATGATGAGCATCGATCCACGTAATTGAGATCGATGACATGCATCAACCAAGTCAGTGATCCTGACTACCCGATCCCGTTAGTCGCCTCTTAAAACAAGCATAGTCGCCTTTTACGGCAAGCATTGGTTGCTGAAGACCTTACTCGTATCTAGACGGGTCCGCCATTCAGGAATTACATACAATGCAAGCTATGTCATCATTCAATGAATTATTTCTCACAGACGAAAACATATTTTCTTCCCATTCTGTTCTTCAAGTGTACAGACGCCATCATATTGTATGGAATAGATTGGTTAAACTACTTTGTTTTTAAAAAGTGAAACCGAAATATATAATGTAGAATAATGATTGTGAAATAAAAAGAGGACCGCC